TGGGCGGCGAGGGATCTAAAAGGCCCACCGCAATCAAGCCCCTGCTGGCTGCTTGGCTCCGGTCTTAAAGTGGCAGGCACTAACAGTGCCCCGCCACACACCTTCCCCCTTAAAATAGTACCTGGGGGAGGTTTCCCCTGCTGTTCCTCCAAAGCAGGCTCCCCTCAGAGCCTGTAAGAGCCCTCAAGTGGCAAGCATCCCCAAAGGTGCTCCGCCACACACCTCCCCTCTTTGAATGACATTCCGTGGGGTTTCACTTGGCTGCCTTCCCTGCTGGCTTTGTCCCAGCCTACTGCAGCCCCTGCCATGTGCCGAGCACCAAAAGTGCTCCGCCACATAGGGATAATGATGCCAATCATTTGAGAGGGCTCTGAGTTTTATTTGTGAAAAGCACCACAAAATGTGGGGTTATTGTGTATTGTTATATGTGGCAGTCTTACATCTTGACAAAAAAAGTTTTCCAGGCTATCAATCTGGGGCAGACTCACTCTTTGGTAAGTGTATTTGTAAGATAAACAAATACACTCACTAACCATGTCTCATTTCTAAATGTAGATGAATGTAGTATAATTTTTTCAAAGATTTATAATTAGGGTAGATTTTCATAGGAGGAATAGAAGGTTCATAGTCATATTCAAAAAAGCACCTTTTAGAGCAGAACTGTAATTTATTGCAGACTTTATGGAAGTCTCCCTATTGGCAACCTCAGACCTGGAATCTGTTCCCTGCTGTCACTGACTTCCTCACCTCAACCCCAAATGAAAACAGGGAACTTGTCAAAGACTCCACTTTCAAATACTGTACAATGAAGGAGAGGATTGCTAGACTCAAATGCAGAAAGGAAAAAGAGCTGGATGTAGGGAGCAGAGGAAGGTGTAAATTGGGACAAGTACATTGAGGGGAAGATTGGTTGAAAGCAGTCTCAGAATTTCCTTGCTGTTGGCCCGTGGCAACGCGTAGGGGGTGCATGTGCACCCCTGAGAGTGCTGGTGCACTCCCTGACAGGCCGCGCTCCCTGCTTAGGTGATGGGCGGTGGGGCAGGCGGGAGCGCCAGTGCCCCTCTGCGAGTGCCAGCCGGGGAGTGGGAGCACCAGATGAAGTGCTGCAACCACTTTCAGGAGCACTGAAGCCACTTCCCAGTCCGCATGTTCGGCCACAGGGGGACCCCCACTGCCCCAATTGCTGACTGGTCACTGGGGGGGGGCACGTGCGCCCCCTGACTAAGGTGGCACCCGTCGCCCATGCTGTTGGCAAAAATATGTTAAACCCACTGGCAAAGTATCCTAGAGGACAACCTCCTACTCTGCTATCAGTTACTCAGTTAGCTCAAATGATAGAAGTTGCTGAGATAAATCTAAAAGTTCCAGCCCTACTGAGGATCCATCTGGGTGTCAAGATAATACCACATAATAAAATTTTTCCAGGAGAAAAATAGTATGAAATTACATAATTAAGGACTGCCTCATTGTGCATATGCACAGGCAACCTCAATTCTGGCATTTTCTAATCTTGAAACCATATTTATATCATCTTTTTTTTTTTTTTGCTTGTAATTTATAACGCACAAACAATCAGGGCTCCATATTGTACTAAGCACTGTGTTCTGAACTACAGTCACTACCTCCAAAGAATTTACAATCTAGCCTTTGTTCAAAACAATCTCTTTCAAAACACCATACTTTATAACAATCGGTTCCCAACCTCAGGGCACGACCTAAAATCAGGGTCATGGGGGGTCCTCAGTAGGGTCATGAAGGGCCCACACACACGCACCCTCACATCCGCAGCCCATCAGTGGCGGGCAGACAGGACCACTGTGCACAAAGGGGGCAATAGCAGTTCCCTTCCTCCTCCGCCCACTGGGCCACTGCTGCTGCACTCCGTTCCCAGCAGCCCCACAGCACAGGTTTGGGAGGTTCTGTTGGTGTCCAATTTAGGGTCACAGCAAAAAAGTTGGGAACCACTGCTTTATAGCAGAGTATAAAAATTACATTTACTCCCCGATTTGTCCCAATTCCTTTAGTATGGCTCCACTATCATATAGAAAACACATCTAAACCACGTTTTCCAGTCAGGACATTAGACATAAATGCATTTGACATATCACATGAAATCTCTTGTTTCCTGGCCAGATCTTTCAAGATAAATATGGGGGCATCTACACATGTGCTTTACTGCAGAGTTGACTGATTAGCGCCACAGTAAAGCATCACCATCTAACACATGTGGCACTATTAGGCTGAAGTAAACCAATTAACTCCACTGTATGACAGTACTGCCCGACACAAATACTATACTACTGTGGAGTTATTTACTTCATCACAGTGCACATGTAGACAGTGATCAGGGCTGGCTACAGCGTGGAGGTGCTACAGTGCAGGGCTACCCGGTAGGGAGCCCCTGCACGGTAGCACTTTCATGCCCCTCCACAGCATGTTGAGGCAGGGTAGAGCAGCTCCAGGCAGGCAGGCTGGCCCCCAGGCCACCTGCCACCCAGGGCTCTGCCACTCCAGCTCAATGTGCTGCTGTCTTGGGTGCACATATAAATGCTGCACCCAAGAGCAATAAACTCCAGCACAAACTACACTGGAGTTTATTGCATCACATTAATAGCATGTGTAGATGTGCCCACACACACACACAAACACACACACACACACACACACACACACACAGCTTTCCCTCCATTTATGCTGTACATGCATTCCCGGAGAACAGTGCATAAATTGAATTCACATAAAGCAAACCCACTTTACAATGTAACAAATAGGGATCAGTTCCCATGGAGGTGAGGAAGGGAGGGAGGGAGTGAGGCTGGGACTAGGAAAGGGGCAGAGGAAAGGGTGCTGCTCCCAGGGCTACACAAGGCGGCAAAGCAGAGGGAACAAAGTGGCACTGACCCCAACCCCAGCTGCAGCAGCCCCAGAAGTGGCTGGGACCAGGTGCCCGCCGCCGCTGAGGTTCACCGCCGTCCACCCTCCCCGCTCACCTCTGCCCCTGGGCTGCACTGTGCCCTGGTGCAGGCAGCTGGTGTCAGCTGCTCCCGGGGCTGCTGTAGCTGGGGCGAGTGGGGACACAGCCCTTTCCCCTCCCCCCACAGACTTACCTGTTTGGGTGGGGGGCATCTATGCTAATCACATAAGAGCGAATTTACCTCGCATATAATGGATTATGGGTCTAAATATGCTCATCGCATAAGAGTGAATTTGCTTATAAAGAACCCGAATAAAATCAAGAGAAACCTGTATATCTTCTCCCCCAGCCCCAGACTAGTCCATCTATTGAAGTAGAAAATTGATATAGAAACTTCCAGATCATTGCTCATCTTTTGCACACTTCAGTTTTCTTCTATTCCAAGAGCTGCCTGAGCATATGAAAATGGTACAACAGTTTGAAACATCCTACATCAACTGCTGCTAAGATTACTATTTGGTCTGGTAATAGTCAGGGAAAATGATTTTTCCTGCCTTGAGAGACTTGGCTATAGTACATCCAATCTTATAAGTTACTTGAAACATTTGTCTTTTATGCTCAGGTGAGTGTACCCCAGGAGGTGGGAAACAAGTTCAAATCCTGCTCTGCACAATTCAGATCTCCTACTTCTCAAAAGAATTCTCTAACACCTGGGGTATTGCCACCTTGTCATTTTCTTACCACTATTGGCTCATTGGCTATTTAAGTATTAGTGTGAAGTGTAACAGCTCCCTCAGGGAGACAGAGCAACCCACAACAGAACAGAACTCATAACAATATGGGCTATTTAGGAATAAGATGAAGGAAATGACCACCTCTTTCTCCATTTTGGGAATATAGGGGACCTATACACATGCCCAACACTTGTTCCAAAACGTGCAAATTAGCATGCTCCAAAAGCCTCCGCACTCATGTATTCAGCACCCCCACACTTCAATTGGTGGTAGAGGCACTTTAACCAAAGCTCATTGAACAAGGTTTAGTTAAAACACTCCCAAGGCCATTTTGAAGCACAGGATGCTGAATACACAAGAGACTGCAGGCACTTTAATTAAAGCAGCTCCTGAGAGCCACTCTAATTAAAGCCCCACCCACACCCACACCCCAAAGCACATGTAAAGATGCCCATAGTATGAAAACTTTCTCCAGATTAAACTGTACAGGTCTAGTTCAACTCAGTTTTCTGAATAATTTTAGATTAGCCAAAACCACATCTTTCAGTGACTGAGCTATTCACCTCACAGCATTTGTCCAAGGCTCGAGTTCAGTGGTAGTTTTACTTATAAAGAGCTGAGGAATCTGATCTACTGTAAAAATAGGTGTAACTTTTGATTGTGCACAGTCTGATCTAACTACCACCACATTTCTATTTCTTGCTAGATGCAGCCCTGAAGGGCATCCCTCTTATTGGTGAAAAAGACTTGAAAAGGGCCTCAATTTATTCTCTCCCATCTTGTGTTGTTTTTTTATAAAGATAACATGGAGGAGAATAACATTAAAATGGGAATCAATTTAGCCCAAACATAACTTGTGGTACAGTCTCATTCAGTGCAACATCACAGTTTCTGGCCATAGGAATTTTAATGATATCTTCATCCAGAACTACAGATACAAATAAATCTAAATATATAAAAAGGCAAGTACTAGGAACTAGGCAACTATATTGAACACAACACAGAGATATGGCTGCCATGGTTCCCCTGCTATACCTGTGGCAGGTTAGGGACTTAGGTCTATATTGTGTCAGGACTGAGGGTAGACTTGTATAGAGATTATGGTTGTATGGCATGGTTTGGATAGGGATGATCCTGCCTCAGGTTGGAGGTCTTCTTCCAGCCCTACTTCTATGACCCTATGATTCTCATACTGATCTACAAGCAAAATCCCACAGAATGTGTAAGGGAAGTTTCCACAGGTGAAACAATGGCAAGACTGGATAATCAGCAATATTGTGGTGTAAGAATGGGCATTTAAGGGAAACTATGGAGTTTTTATGCACGTAAAGGTGTTTGTGTACACAGGAGAAGAGGACAGGCTTGTTAAGTGCTATTCTACTCCCAAAATCAACGGTGAATAATGACATCTCTATAAATAAGTCTATGCCTTTGCCTAGTCAGTCAGATCTGCTCATTTTAGTGTTAATAATTTAAAAATATACAATAGAAACCCTTTACAACTCCTTGTTAGCCCTGCAGAAGAAATGCAGTTAATAGTAGGGGAAGCATTTCTCCTGTGTATCAGTAGAAATGTTCATGAAATTCCAGGCAGTTACAGCCAGTGATAGCTGTGAATGCCATTGACGTCAGCAGATTGCCCAGGTGTTACTGAAGGTATAGTATGAAGACAGGTGGTTTGCAGTGTCATAATTCAAGGACTTTATTTGTCCAACAGAATCTCTTTTACTGACAATAGTGCAATTAGACTATCTTGATTTCTGTATCCCAGGTTAAATTTGAGCAAAGAGCATTTTCTTATAAACTGGGTCACATTTGATATGGAAATAGACATGGAGCCCTAATGCATTCTTTTTATAAACTATATCTAAAAAGCACCTTTTAGAGCAGAACTGCAATTAATTTAACCTAACCTATTTTTTAAAGAATTAGAGGGAATGATTTTAACAGTATGGAGTGGTAACATAGCAGAGATAAGAGGAAAGAGGCAGAGGGATAAGAAAGTAATTCTTGAAAATGATTATAGAACTCTCTTATATTGCAGATATTAAAGGACCACTGGTATCCTATGCTTGGGATATGGACCAAAATCCACACCAGGGTTAAGCAACTCAAATCCTATTGAGCTCAATGGGAGTTCCACTGTATCTCTCAGGACTGAATTTGATTCTTGGTCTCTTTCTAAAGGTGTGGTGAGAAGGGAATAGTTTCTTCCAACAGAGATGAATAAAATGTGCATCTTCGATTGAGATTCCAAAGCTTTCCAAGGATTGTTATTACACAGAGGTCCAATTGAAATTAGTGAGCTATGTGGCTAGATTTACTAATTGTCTTTGAAAATCTGTCTTTGCTTTTAGATGATCGTCTGTGTCTATTCCTTATACTTTTCTTGAAGTCTTCAGAGAAATGATGTTGTACTTTAACTGCAGTCTAACACACTAGAGCACGTATGGAGAAAATGTCTTCCTAATATCATTACTTGCTGACATTTTCAAAAGGCAAATCCATTACTTGGGACACCATTTAGTTCAGAAATGTATTAGGAAACAAACAGGAGATACCTTTGCAAAATAGACATAAAGAGTCAGTCTCAAACACGACATCTACTGCCTATTGCCATCAAAATAATGAAAAAAACTTTAAATATTTTACTTACTCACCATAAAGAAATATTAAAGGGGAGGCTAAATACAGAGAGTCAAGCAATTGCAATAGATTACTTACCTGTCTCAATGTCCTCTTGGGCAATGGATACTTGACAATAACAACAGTCCATGAAGATAACATAGCTGAACATGTTGAAGAAGAGACCGGCAATTCCTACAATGAGGACAAACAGTGGTTCTTCGGTCTTTTGTGGATTCAGATACCTCTTAATGGCTTCAATAAAGATGCTGACCATCAGTGCAGTAGCAAAGACAGAATTGCCGAAGGCACCCAATACATCTGCCCGGGGAAAGCCAAAAGTGCTCCTTTTGTGCCATCTGACATGACTGAATCGGACACCGAGCAACCCTATGATCATGGAGATGAAGTGAGAAAGGACAGCAAAAGCATCTGAAGCTAGAGCCAGGGAGTTACCAATGTATGCTACTGATATCTCCACAATAAAGAGTAGCAGGCTCACAACACACATTAAGATGAGCCGGCTGCTCCTTCCCGAGTATCGTCCCATTTCTATTCCCTCAATAGTCTTGGTCCTACAAGATGTAATGGTTGTGGCTGGAACTCTGCAACACTCCCCTCTGCCTGTCAGTGCTGCTCACGTTTGGCACTTTTATAGGATGCACTAAAACAATAAAATCAGTTTAAAGTGCAATTTAGCAAGATCCGGTCACGTGCAGTCTGCCCAGAAGATTTAGCTCCGCTTCTGCATCCTTCTGCGATGTGGGAATTTTTTATATGAATTACAGATAAAGTGGGGGAGACATGTCATAATGTAGTCTGAACCCCAATACCAGGGCACTCAGAGGGAACTGCCACTACCACCACCAGAGTCTCAAGCACAAGGGAGATCAGGCAAGGGATAACCAAAACATTTGGTGGAGCAGGAAGTTTAAATGATAGCAGATGCATTTTATTTGCTCAAAGGGTTTTCTACAACCTCTCTTCTATAAAATTCAGCCATTCCTTTGGCCAATAATTTTTAATTTTAGTTCTAGAGAAAAAAAAAAAAAAACATGCACGCTCAAGTTCTACATTATGACACAATCAATAAACAGAGTTTATCAATACAGCAAATGGATCATGCCAGAGATGTAATTAAAATGAAGATACTATTCAAGGGCCAACTTTTTCAAGAGGAGTTAATTGGAACCTTTATTTTGCATGCATTAATTTGCAACAATTACATACATATGCATTAATCCACAAAATTGTTTATGCCTGAAGGCCACTAATGAAAAATGTAACCTCTAGGATGTAAACACTGCACATGGTGGCATTTAGTTTTAATATGCAAACTTCTCCTAGGCTTTCTAACTGTAAAAACAAGCCTCTTGGGTTTGCAAGGAAGAGACATTAAAGGAAATCTGGTAGCAGGAGAGATGTGGGGAAGGAAAAGAAGAGGAGCTTAGCTTGTGCATTAAGTCATTTCTATAAACCAAAACAAACTTCTTCAGTACAGGTAAGAGAGTGCAAAGCACTAACAGCACCCCAGTCAAACAAGGTGGTCAGCTTTTGAGTTCATCGTACATACACACAATTTCCCGTTAGGAAAATGTAGCTGATAAAATTATGCAATATACAAACATGGAAGATGATCAGGTGCTTGTCCGGATAAGTTTACAGTCTAATTTATGTTTCAACTTAAATTGCTCCTCTATGTACATATACATAAAATTGGCCATGAGATAAGAGGGAAAGAAATTCCATGCAGGGTAGCCAAATATGGATAAGATAATACAAATTACCCAAGTTGGCCAATTGTCCATCCCTGGTCTTAATTTTATTGAAGTAAATTATCTTGGGGTCAGAAACTTAGCTATCCAAATCCAATTTACATTTATTATTTTCTGCTCATATTCTGGTACAACTGAAATAACCTTGCTTAACCCACACATCCATGGGGCATTTAACAGCACCTGCTACCAGGATTGACATTTTTCTGCTGGTCATTCCTTCTCTGAATTGTTGCAACAGTCTTTGGCCTCTGCTGTTCAAATATCTGGAAAGAATTAGGTGTTTTCTTCTACTTCCTTCAATTCTCACCCACCCTTTAGACAATTACACTGCTGTCTGTGCACCTGAGAATTAGTTTATTTTGCTGCATTCATTTATGGATTTGTTCCCATTTCAATTCCCAAATAGCTGCAAAGCTTAATGAAGATTTATTTTCTCTCTTGTACTTTGCATTTTATGACTGCTATATCATGTAGCATCTCTCCAGTGCATTTTAATAACCCTTGCAGCAATGGGACACTTGTAGCTCTTGTCCCCCTGCTTTACCTGTGGCCAGTTCGGGTGCTTTTCAGGTCTTTGGGCAACATGCTTTAGACTTGTGTGACAGAGTTGATCATGTAATTCTAGCAATAGGATAGACATGGACTTGAATGGGATAGTTTGAATAGGGATCATCCTGTCTTAAGCAGAAGATTGGACTAGATTACCTCTGGAAGTCCTTTCCAGCTCTGCTTTTCTATGATCCATAAACAGTGGATTAAGATGGAAAAACTAATAACAGTGTTTCTATTAATGATCAATACCACTAAAAGCTTGTTTTTACATCCATGTTATTCCTAGTGCTCCCACTATATTTGCCGTGTGCTGGTTTTTGTCTTTTTACCAACAAAGGACTAAACCAGTGCAATCCATTAAAAAGAAGAGGTTTTATTTGGAAAGTCCTCAAGTTGATTTTAGTGGGAGCAGAGCTAAATCAAATCTGCATGCTTTTGAAAGCCAACTTTAAATAGCATTTGATCACTGTCACTGAACATATCTCCTAAAATTTCAGCATCTACTTATTTCTACGTATTTGACCCAAATTCTTCAGAACTACTTCTTTAAAACTAGAAGTTAGAATACTGTTTTAGCTGTGACAGATTACAAGGACAGTTGATGTTACAGTGATTGTTGTAGTTACCTGGAAGGAGAAAAGAGCCTAAGGAATCAAAAACTGAATTGTTTGGGGCAATTATTTAAGCTCACTTGGAACAAATGAAATACTGTAAGGGCACATCTACATAAGACTCTTTACTGTATAGTAGAGCAAATTACTGTGCAGTAAGCATTACCGTCTACACATGCAGACCCTCACTGCAAAGTAATTTTCTCTGCTGGGCAGTTAATTTCCTATCTGCATTTGCTACCTGCCAAGTAGTTACTGTGCACTAAGGCACATGTAGATGGCTGACCAGGAGCAAATTTGGTCCCAGTAAGCAGGGAGTAAGAGATTTTTCCCTGCCTTTGGGAGCTGCCTGCTGCTGGGGCAAACTCCAGTGGCAGAACCCAGGTGGTGACAATGTGCCCCTGCCCTGACAGCAAGCAGCTCCTGGCTTGGCTCCCTGATCTGGGGCAGAGAGGCTTGGAAAAAGCTGCAGGCAGGGGTAGGTCCCAGCCCCTTGCCCCAATCTGCCAGTGGGACAGCTAGCAGCAAGCCCCCAGCTGGGTGGGGAATGCCTGAAATGGGACAGTTCCCAGCCGGCTCTGGGCTGCACATACAGACTTTCCCATACAGCCTGGGGCTGGCCAGGAACTATTCTGGTATGGGGCAGGTCCCAGCCCCACAACTCTTTTCGCCCCATGTCCTGATCAGGCGACTGAGGCAGGGGGCTTGGAAAGAGCTGTGGGGGCGGGGGAGGTCCCAGCCCCATACCCCAATTCACTGGTGGAGCAGCTAGCAGCAAGCCCCCGGGTGGGTGGGAAATCTCCACCCAGCTGGGAGCTCAGTGCTAGGTGCCCCATCAGTGGATTGGGGCAGGGAGCTGCTTCTCCCTCACAGCTATTTTCAAGCCCCTTGCCCCAGATTAGGGAGGTGGGCCAGGGGGTCCCTGCTACCAGGCCCAGGGTGGATTTAGTCCAGAATAAATTACTGCAGAGTAAACCCATCCAGCAACATTTGCACATGTAGACATGCCCTAAGAGTTTCTAAACAGCAAATAGTAACATAGCAGCATGCTATGGTCACACTAGCTCTTCCCTCTCTCCATCCAGAAACTCTGATATAGAGTTTATAAATCTCTCTGAACTGGGGTGTGAAAAAGTGAGGTAATTTGTACAGTGAAAAAAAATGTCAAAGTCATTTGGAACCAAACGCAGGGTGTAAAACATTTACAGGGACAGGGGACTAGCACTGCTCTTGATGTCTCCAATGTAAGCAATGGCAAGGTGCAGTTAGCCTTATTCACTGCTGCCTCGCATTGGTGGCTCATGTTCATCCTGGAGTAAACAGTGACTCCAAGATCCCTCTTTGCCACCTTAGTGACAAGAAGGGTGTTCCCTAGCCTATACGTGTGTTGCTGGTTCCTTCTCCCTAGATGGGGCACCTTGCACTTGTCTGTGTTGAATTCCATCCTATTCTCATCCGCCCACCTCTGTAACCTGTCTAGATCTAGCTGGCTTCTGTCCCTCCCCTCCAGCATGCCCCACATCTTGGTGTCGTGCGCGAACTTGGACAGCGTGCATTACACACCCACATCCCGATCACTGATAAAGATGTTGAACAGTACAGAGCCCAGGACCGAGCCCTGGGAGACTCCACTGCCCACATCCCTCCAGGTCGAAAACGACCCATCCACCACCACTCTGGGTGCGACCATCTAGCCAATTTGCCACCCATCTGACTGTGTAGGCATCAATGCTGCAGTCACCTAGGTTTTTTTTAAGAGAATGTGGTGGGAAAGTGTCAAAGGCCTTCTTAAAGTCCAGGAAGACAACATCCATCTCAATGCCCTCGTCCAGGGACTTTGTGACCTGATCATAAAAGGAAACCAAGTTGGTCAGGGAGGATCTGCCCTTAATGAACTCATGTTGGTTGCCCCTGAGCATTACCTTCACTGCTGGGCCCTTGCAGATGTGCTCCTCGATAATTTTCTCAAAGGTCTTCCCAAGAACCGAGGTAAGGCCGATTGGTCTATACAGGCACTCCTCACTTAACGACCGAGTTCCGTTCCTACGACTCGGTCATTAAGTGAATTGGTCAATAAGCGAGGAGCCGCCCCTTAGCAGCCGCCCCCCGGGGAACCAGCCGGGGACGGGAAGGCGCTGGCCATGGCGGTGAGTCCTGGCCGCTGCCCTCCGGGTGGATGCTTCTTCCCCCTCGTGGGTTCGCGGAGCCGGCTGGAGGGTGCCGGGCTCAGCTCCATGTCCCCCTCAGCTTGACGCTGAGACGCCGCGCTGCCGACCAGCTCTACGACTCTATGGAGAGCTGGTCGTAAGTCCACGTGGTCATTAAACAGGTAGGTCATTAAGTGAGGAGTACCTGTAATTGCCAGGGTCCTCCTTTCTCCACTTCTTGTAAATGGGGACCACATTGGTCCTTTTCCAATCCTCTGGTACCTGGCCAGAGCCCCACGAGTGCCCATACAGCTGTGTCAGAGGCCCAGCTATGACCCCCACCAATTCCTTCAGCACCCTCGGATGAAGAGCATCTGGACCTACTGATTTAAACATGTCCATCCCCTCCAAAAGCTCCCTAACTAGGTCATCCCTGACCCTAGGCATGGCAGTGCCTGCTCT